TCCGCACGTAAAACATCGCCGTACGACTTGTTGCTGCTCAACAGCTTGAAGCTCAGCTTCACCTTCGTCTTCAGCATAGCTGAGATCCATCGGTTCCGGCTTATTATAGGCAGTAGTGCCCGAAAAGTTTGCTCTCCCAGAGCGAGGATTGTATCCATCCCAACCAAGTCTGGCCGACTTGAAATTATGCTCAGCATTGAGAGCAATTCTCACAGCCTCTTCAAACGTAGAGGGGTGAACCCGAAAAACCTCGGTTCTGGCAATGCCAGTACGTAGACCTTCCATGAAGATAGTCACATGGACTGCTTCAGGCAGAGGGTCAGACTGCATTGCAGCCATGATCGTTCGCAGCTCTTGGACATAGTCCGATAATTCATTCTTACCCTGGCGGGTAGAAAGAAAGCGTGAACGCACGCGGTAAGCTTGGTTGGGTGGAGAGAACACCTGTACCAATTGTGACTTGAGCGACTCCCATGTGGGAAACGCTATGTCCACCGACGTGCTACACGCCAAGGCCCATTCTCTAGCTCTACCATCGAGCTTCGAGATAGCCAGCGAGACCTGTTGAGGGTCATGCGTGATCAGGCCTGATCTCATGGCCATCTCAATCTTACGGATCCATAGGATGAGGTTCTCACCCTCTTTACCGGAGTAGTTTTTCACTTCCACGCTAAGTGGACGAGGCCTAGCCTCTTCTTCCGGTACAGACACGTAGCGTGTAGGCATATCCGACGCTATTTGGTCTTGGACCTGCCCTAAAAGGGTTGTTTCATACTGCATGAAGCTTTCAACACGTGCATTAAGCACTTCAGGACCTTGAGAAACAAGGAACTCCACGTACTCTGGACCCAAAGATGCGGTCAGCTTATCAAGCGCGACCTTTTGGGCCTCAGATAGGGGAGTGAGGTTTTCCATCCTCACAGAGGATCAGTCTTAAAGACTCAGGCGTATTTTGACTACAAGTGCTACCAAGTGTAGCGGAGCTACACAGCTCCTTAAGTCAGAGGAAGACTTAACGCTCTACGAGCAACTTGGTTCTAAAGAACTAACGACTTTACGAGTCAACAAGCTTTACAGCGTTAGATCCCTGTTCCAGGGGACCTAACGATTCAGTGAATCGACAGCACTTAGTGCTCAAGAGTAGCTACCTCAAGGAGGTGTTGCTAACTCTTAGTGATCAGAGATCAACGATCAAGACGGCTTGCAAGCCACGTGTCTTTCAAATCAAAATGGGAACTGATTTTATTTTTGTTAAAGCCTATAGAATATCCTGATCCTACTCAAAGATCTTTCGTATCTAATGGCTGACACTCGTCAGCCCCTACAAACCGATAAGATATTCTATATCACCTTCACAGAAGGGTACCCTCAGGTGTATAACACCTCTGGTACAAAGTACCATAATTTCGTGCAACCATGTTACACTTCTATCGGTGAGGATTCCTACAATATTACACGATCATCGATGCGCAGAGGAATATACGTGCGTGTTTTCATGTAGATGGATTAAGTGAAGTGTCACGATAAAGTGTGGCAGATCTGGCTGTCCTCTCTTCATAATCCAACCCATCACATAGGCTCTACAACTAAGATTAGATTGGATAATCATTCGAAAAAAAATAGATGCTTTTTTGCATTTAAAAAGCACTGCTACCGAATCAATTTAACAAAATTTGGATCGGGGATATCGCGATGTGATAAACCTGAACAAGGACAATCAGCTTAATGAAACTCGCTGGTTTGTAGCAAAATGACCTGAGATACTAAGGCCATTGTAAAGCTCAACAACACTTGGCTAATGACTGATCCATATAAAAGCATTCAGCTGAAACCTTTGCAGCTGATTATAAAGCATCTTACCCGATAAAGGAGTAGGCAAGAAAAAGCTGGACTGGATTTGAAATGAGAGTTCTCAGGCTTCGGGAATTAATGTCATTTGTCTATATACACAGCCTGGCTGTGACGAAGGATTCAGTACGCCTGGAGCTGACGAAAACTGACTAAGATGTTCTCATCCGAGAACTGGAAGAGGATATGAATCTGCCGCAAGGGAAAGTGAACGTAATTTTTTTTCGAAGGATGAGAAACTATGTAAAATGTCACGCGAAGGTGGACCCAGCAATAAAAATGGAGGCAGAAAAGATACACTATATGTGTGGAGGTATTGTGTAAAAATTGTAAAAAACCGTACAGGTAGTGATGTACCTATTCCATTATAGTACCAAGACTGATAAAGTAGTACCGAGTACAACATAAGTCGACCACTGATGGAAATTTCACGTCACACAAATTTCGGTTCAGCAACGTGGTTTTACAGTTCTGAAGTCACTACTTGAGAATTTTGACCATTTATCTTTTATATATCACCATGCTGAACATCTTAAAAGTTTTTGCCTTTTCTGAATAAAGATAGGGAGATGCTAATGAGCCTTTACTTTTCGCCAACAAACCTTCACCCCCATACATAAATCAAGTAATAAAAATAGACCCCTCACTTTTGAGATTGTTTCGAATGATTTATAGGCTTCTATTTTTTAAGCTACACAGTCAAGACTAGGCCAGTTCTCCGCAGCTCCACATAAATTGGCCCCTCCGACGGGTGAGATCACTTGAAATACAGTCTATCATCGAATTTGTAACTTGAATACCATTCCGCCCTGCACCCACGTCTCTCCCAATCTCACAAGGACCACCGGAATAACTCCGACGACGACACTTCGTTTATGGTACAAACAGACTTGGACCCTCTTCCACATCAACGTGTAAATAAAAGATTACAAAAACACACAAAGCGTATTTTACGCTGCTCACCTTCTTGTTGAGCTTAAGTGATGTATATAAAAATGATGCATATCTTGCTTAACCGCCTGGAAGTGTACAGCTTAGCATATGCGTTGCATGAGTAATTCTAATAACCTCACTTTTCTTGCCATTTTTCAACCTTTGTTGCCTTTCATTTATTGTTTTATAGCATTTAGGCAGTGTCAGCTCGTCAAGCGTGTGACAAGATTCGTCAACAAATTTTCATGTTGTAATCCTTTTTTCTGGTTCATGCCTTTCATGTTTCTTTTTGAGAAAAAGGTCAAAAGTACGATAGAGATGGTGATATGAGATGGAATAAACAATGTTTCTGAAACGTCCTCAGATAATTTAATAATTTAGGAGGTTTTCGATTTAGTTACTTGATTATTATATAGGATAAGTGTAACGGAGCACCCTTTGTTTGGGGTGCCGCGAAACTTCACGTACACTAGTACGTGCAGAGGAAGCTAAGCAGCTTGAACGACTCGATCAAGTAAGGTAAAAAGAGAACTCTATCTAATATTATTAAGCTATCAATACAACTTTAATCTTTATCTAACTAAATCAAACTACGCTGTCGTATGACGACAACCTGCTCACCACTCATTGCGCGCGTCTAGAAGCGATTGGTGATAATCTATGGTTGATATGTCGTATTTTAACCAATCTTGGAGCAGTTTATGAACATTATCCAACATGAAATAATATTCCTTCAATATGATCCATCTCGAATAATATCGGTAGAATATTGTCATACTAGACAATATTCCGTTTGACACCGTTTGGTGTTAAATTTTATGTAACGGGCTACCGCGTTACAATGAGGGTTCATCAGCGAAAAGTGAAGGCTCATCAGCGGCTCCCTTGATAACTTAATTAATTTTTAAACAGTTAGATGTACATTATCTGAATAACTATTATAAAAAATGTTCAAATGAATAATATTATAGGGTTGCATGTTGGCGCGGTAACTGATTGGCTGTTCATTACTGCCGTTTGTCCCGCTGTCATAACTAGACAGTGTGAAGCCTTTTGTTGGCCTATTGCTGAAGGCTCATTCGCCCCGTCGACACTCTTTGATCAGGGTCATACCTCTCAGATGTCTCCTGGGGAGGGAAACTATCCTACAAGTTGTTCATTAGCTTTCATGGAGAGGGGCACTATCCAACAAGTTGTCCATCAGCTTAACTCGAAAAAATCGCGCAGATACGCTACACTTTGTCGGGTGGGGCCAGAATGTAATCGTAAGATAAATCTGCAATGGTAGCTATTGTCCGATTATGAATTGTTATCAATTAGTAGCCCTTTAATTATGGTCTGCCTGTGATCATATTTAGCCGAGATGCAAATTTAGTCCGGGAGTTGCGGAAATTCTCCAGTACTCAGGTGAGCCAGACGTGGGGTCTGTAATTCAAAGGTTTGAACAACAAAGTTGTTCACAATTTTTTCTCAGTGAATATAGAAACGAAAAGTTTGAAGACCTATTTTGTAGGTGTCTGATTACCAATTTAGAATGAGCGCCCAAATGGTGCAATTTTGATTGGCGTTAATTCAACCGGAATTGCACCATTAGTTCGTTCGATAGCTGAGGTAAAAGTATTAAGCGTTATTGGTAACTGGGTATCATTAAAGGTTGTTTGTATCGGGGCACCCTGAAGCTTGTACTGATGACAGTACAAGCTACTTATTCTGATGACAGAATAAGGCGGTGCCTCGTAACTTCACGTACACTCGTACGTGCAGAGGAAGACGGTAAGAAGAAGCGATTACTTGGTTAAAGTAAAAAGTGGAACTGTATATATCATAGTTAATGTCTGTTAATAAACCACTATTTATCCTTATCTAACTATGTCTAATACAAATGTGTAAATCAGCTCTCTGCTCACCACTCATTGCGTGCGTCTGTCGTGGCGCGTCTTCGTTGGTTGATATAATGGACTATATCAACCAATTAGGCTCTACTCGTAAGTGCTGCAGAATACTGTCCTTATGACAATATTCTGGGAATATAACTCGTATAGTTATATTCTATTAGCAATTTCTTATAAATTGTTATGTAACGATTCACCCCGTTACATCACCCCCCTTAACCATCGGTCACTTTAGTGACTGGTTGACTAAATGGATACTCGTCCCAAATTATTTGGGACAGGGTTTGCACTTGTTGGTCCGAGTCCACTTTCCAACAGTTTTATCGCATGGTTAACAGTCCGTGCGGTGCGCGAACAAGGCCGCTGAGAGCGCGTCCGCACGTCTCTGTGCGGACGCCGAAGCAGAAACCACAGCAACTGATGTCTCATCGGTTGCTGAAGCGACTCAGCCTGTGTCAACTGGTGATGAAGGCGCTAGTCATGAAGACACTCATGTCTTCACAGAGTATGAGATCGGTGTCTCATGCTCTCCTGATACGGAAGAGGGATTCTGTATCGAAGGCGGTTGAAACCAAGCCGCCTGCCAAGCGTGGCATGGATGATGCTACGCGTCGTAGCATCTTTGATTCATCTGACGAATCAGATGAACCATCGCCAAAGCGAAAGCGCTCGAGGTCACGAGACTCGGGCGCTCACAGTGGTATCGGTTCTCCTATTGACACCACTTCGCAGCGAGGTGCCAGTACTTTTGTCGGCACGTCGCAGGAATAGCGGGACCGCAGCGTGTTGCATCTCGCTCCCGAAAAGAAGGCACGGATGCCTCCAAAGTCAGTCATAGATCGCTTGTCGGCGACGAAGAGTGATCGCTATTGAACACGATTGTTCGATTCGTCAAGGATCCATCACCATGACCCCAGTACGAAAGACTATCGCGCTGAGAATGAGTTCTTCATCGATGCTTTCTTTAAGCATCGATGGTTTGGTGGGAATCACAAACGTGATGGTCCCTCACTGCTTCAAGCGTGGAACGCTTACATCCATAACCTTGAGGATTTAGGTCGTGACGTTTGGAACGACAAGCTTTTCAAAGCTCATGATAAGTTTGAAAAGCAAACCCCGACAGGTGCACGCTACAAGCTGCATCTTCTGTATAAGAAGAGTGGGCTAACCTGTCTCTCCTGGGGAGAATCGTGCCCCTGTTGTGTGAACAACTCTGCGCGCGCACCTAAGGAGGCTTACCTCCTTAATAGCCCGTGGTGGCGCGTACGTATCTTTAGTGAGATGTACGAAGGGATTGACAACCTGAAATCCCTTTACGACCGTGCCGGGAAGACTTTCTCTGGCGGTCCTTCTGCGGCACAGGATGTGCCGCATCGTACTGCTCGACCATACCCAGTACGTCAACCATCAGTTGGGATCGGGGTTCCCAAGTATCCCAGGACGGGAGATAGCCGCGCCACCGGACGAGATAACTCGTCCGACGTCCGTTCACGTCGCGGTGGTTCAACAGCTGCTCAACTAGATAGAGCTGGCCACCGCGAGAGTCCTCTAATGGAGGTGGAGGAGGAGGGAAGACGCTCTCCACACAATCGTGGGGAAGCGTGTGTTCCCGAGAGCTTCTTTGATCTCGTAACGCAAGGGTTACGCGGCGATCTCGAACATGAGCGGGACAGACGTCGTCAACTGGCGGACGCTGTCTTGAAGCATCGAGCTGAGTTTGCCTTTGCTCAGCTTGAGAACGAGAGAGCTCTGACGTCTCTGCGTGACGAGCTAAGGGTAGCTCGTGGGATTGTTGATCGGTCTCGGGCTGAGATAATTGCTCTTCAGACCCTTGTCGATGGCCACCATCGGGAGCACAAGGCTCTCTGCGAGATGCTTGAGCGCAAGGGCGTTCTTCATCGGAAGAAGTAGAGTACTGATGGTACGGCTTAAGCCGACCAACGTAAAACGTGGGATGCGTTCGCATCTTACGTGGCAGTTCGATCGTGTATGCGTTGCCTAGGCGGTGCAATACACGAAATGGGCCGATGTACTTGGGTAGTAGTTTACTACTTCCCAAGTTAGTCACTACATGCTTTGGTAGGTTAACCGTAGACAGAAAGACTAAGTCACCCTTATTAAATAAAAAAGTGTTTGCCCTTCCATTCTTGTCAGCGTTTTGCTTTTGCTTATCCACCGCTTCGGCGATGGAATCTTGCACAAAACGGACTACCGTTTCACGAGCCAGTATGAACTCATCTGATGACTCGTTAGCTTCAGTGCGCTGTGAGTGCTCTGCAGCGACAACAATCTTTTCTTCAGTGAGGGCTTCCGCACTCTCACTGGCATCATCTTCTTCGATATCGATGTTATCGATATCGGCATCAAACGCAATGACCTCTTTGTCAGAGCGTGATGAGCGTGAACCAAATCGGTTTTTGCTCACGCGAGTCCCCCCCCCTTAAGCCAGAGTCACACTCTAGTAAGGTGGGTACACGCGGATGGCGTAATCCGTTCACGTAAAACGGTGTATGTGTCGTGGACGCATGCACCGGGTTGTTAATGGCAAACTCTACCATGGGCAAAAACTCACTCCAACTCGTAAAGGAGTGTACGTATCCTCGAAATATCTCTTCGAGGACACGATTGGCACGTTCCGTCTGACCATCTGACTCTGGATGATCAGATGTAGACATCTTCAAGCGCGTAACGAGTGATTTGAACACGGAACGCCAGAAAATAGCAGTGAATCGTGGATCTCTGTCTGATACGAGTTCACGGGGCAACCCATGAAGTCGGAAGATGGTGTCAATAAAGACACAAGCACAGCCACTTGCCGTGATTGTCTCTGGTACAGCCACAAGGTGTACTATTTTGCTGAATCTATCAACAAATACGAGAATACCCGTATTCCCGCGTGCATCTTTGGGTAACCACCCGAAGACAAAATCCATTGAGATGGATTCCCAGCACTCAGCCGGAACCGTTAGAGTCTGTAAAGGTGCACGCATTGAAGGACTTGACTTCACTCGTTGACAGACTTCGCATGCGCGAATGTACTTGCGCACGAACTGATACTGGCGGGGCCAGTAAAACTCACCATGAGATATATTTCCCACGGCCACGATGTCCTCCTATAGGAGCATCGTGATACTCGAACATGATCCGCAAGCGCAGATTATTATCATCTGGAATGACAACACGTGGTTTGCCACCAGAAACGGCTGTATAATACAGTAAACCGTTGCGAGTAGTGTATCAATCTGATACAGATCGATACGCAGACGACAATCGTTTCAACGATTCTCGAGATGGCTGTGAGAGATGTGTCAACAACTTCACAATCTCACCCTCTTGGGCATATGCCCGCCTCACATCATCATACAACGTTGTAGATGGGACTGAGGACGTCATAACCGCAACAGTGACTGCCTCACTGTTGGGTTTCACAACTGATTCAAAGTCGGGACGACGTGAGAGTGCATCAGCGACGACATTAAGTCGTCCTGGTTTGTACTCTACCGTAAAGTTGTATTCTGCAAAGAATGACAACCACCGCGCCATTCGTTGTGAAAGGTGCGGGCTGTTCACTGCCGTGCCTAACGACGCATGGTCGGTGTAAACAATGAAAGGTCTATCCCCTAATAGATAGACTCTGAACTTCGCGAGTGCATACTTCATGGCAAGGAGTTCCTTGTCATGCACTGGATAGTTCCACTCAGCTGGTTGCAGCTGACGCGACTGATAGCATACGACGCGTTCAACGTCTTCAAGATCGTACTGCATTAATGCACAGCCGATTGCGAAATCGCTGGCATCACAGACCACATGAAATGTCCTTTCCTGATCAGCAATTGCTAGGACTGGGGATTGTATCAAGCTCTGCTTGATACCATTAAAGGAGCGCTGACATTCAGCGTTCCATAACCACCTCTCGTTCTTTTTCAACAAACGAGAGAGGTGTACAGTCATCTCGGCGTAATTGCGTGAATACTCGTGCTAATACGCCGCTAGCCCAAGGAATTTTCGAAGACCTTTGACATCAACCGGCACAGTCCAGCCGGTGATCGCCTTGATCTTTTCGGGATCAGGACGTACACCGTTCTTACCAACGATGAACCCAAGAAGTGGTATTTCGCTTGCTGCAAATATACACTTCTTGAGGTTTGCATACAATTGATGCTTTCGCATGATTGTAAGAACCTGTCGGACGTGGTACCTGTGAACCTCAACGTCCGACTTTCCATCCATAGCTCGACTATGGATGAATACGTCATTGAAATAACTCGGCGCGAATTCTCGTACCGGTCTCAACAGATGTGATACACATCTGTTGAACGTGGCAGGGGCATTACTAAGCCCTTGTGGCATTACTAGCCATTCCCAGAGCATGCCGCTAGGCGTGCTGACTGCGGTATAGGGTATATCCCGTTCTCGCATAAGGATTTTATAGAAGCCATCCATCAAATCCATGGACGAAAAGATGGTACTCGTTGACATACCATCAATGATTACGTCCTTCCTTGGTATCGGCGTCTGTGCCGGTACCGTTGCAGCATTCAACTTATTAAATGCATGCACTATCCGCCACCCTCCTGTTGCTTTTCGCACACAGAAGGTCGGAGAGCTATGTGGGGAAGTTGATTCCCTCACATGGCCCGCAGCTAAACGATCGGCAAAGAACTTGTCGATCGCAAGTACTTGTTCACGAGGCAGTGGCCACTGCTTCATGACACAGTACTTCGAGCCTAATTTAAGCTCGACCTCGTGTCAAATACTTTTATCCTTCGGTAATTCGCACGGAACAGTTTTAGGGACTACATCCTTGAATTCAACCAAATTTTCATAGAGAGGATTTGTCTTGAGCGATTCCCACGATTGGGAGTCATATCGCTCAACTCGTGTCTTTTCATCGAGGACGCTCTCGTCCATCGATGAACTACTGAGAACTCTCTCGTTCTCATTAAACACTGTTGCTGACCTTATGTCGGCCACACACTCGTCGTCAGCGACGAGTACGCAGATCTGCTTGACTTTGCCACTACGCAGATCACGCAAGAACCTTTTATGTTCGAGCGTTGTCAACTGAGTGATCTCCGAAGTCAACTTCGGAGGCGCAATCAGATCAAGTGTATAAGCGCCTACACTTGATCCGTTATTGACTATGACATTCAATGTCTCTGTCATTTCCTGAGGACTTATTCCCTCAGGCCTCGAAGGACTTATTCCTTCGGCTTCCCGGGGACTTATTCCCTCGGGTTTCGGGGAACTTATTTCCGCCGTATTTGCAATATCGGGACTTATTCCCTTAACTTCCTCTAGCTGTGGTTGCGCAACCACAGCGAGATCCTCTACGAAAGACTCTCCAGTCGATCTAGGATTATCGTTTCGCTTAACCTGAGCGATCGATTGTTTCTCTTCTAGATGTTCCCCGCTAGTGATACATCTTTGTCCCGGTACACTCGACTTATTCGAGTGGTGGACCTTCGGCGCAGCCTGTGTTTCCTCATAGCCGCCGGAACTTTGCTCCGAAGTGTAATCGTTTGTTACACTAAGGTTTCGTGCAGTCGTACTAACGACCGTACCACAAGTGAGGCCATCGCACTCACTCGTAGTACATCCACACGCTTGTGGACGCTCCAAAACGTTCATCAGATGGCCATCTAATGAACAAGCGGCAGGCATCGTTACTATTCGATGTTGCCAGTTTACCCGTGGTTCGTACCTTCTGAGCCACGGTATTCCAAGGATGACATCAAATTTGTCATCCAAATCCAATACGATAAATTCATCGTCATATTGGGTATCTTCTAGCGTATAGTGGATCTTCACTATACGCTTCATGACGGTTACGGATGCGCCTGTCGCAAGACGTACCTTCATCCTCGTAGGAGGTGTGTCACATTCACTGAACTTAAAATGACCATCTTCTAGCGATTGGGGTCGCACAAAATTGTTGGACGCCCCACAATCGACTAGAGCTCGAAGGGACAACTTATTCGTCACTTCGAGTTTCAAGGTAATGAGTGAGATCTTATTACCTAGAGCAGCAACGCACAATATTTGTGTGTTGGGAGCAACCTTCGTCAAGAGGCCTGCAAATTCTCTCGACGTTGCTGGACCAGTAGAGTGCTCCGCACCTACTGATCCTGTCCGTTTTTTACGGTCCATCCCGTTGTTGCGTCTTTGCACCAACAGCGGACCCGCGTCCCTGTCCCTTTCTCATGGGTGGGCGGTCACTACGCCCAGTGTTGCAAGACACTGGACGAGGGGCACTACACTCGTAAGCGTAGTGTCCTGTCTTCTGACATCTGTTGCATTTTTGTAACTTCTTGTAGTCTGTAGAGCGAGCCTTCTCGCTCTCTACATAACAGAGTTCCATCGGCTCTGGACCTCCGTTGTCATATCGTCTCGGTTGACGATATGATGTCGAGCTGGCGCGAGCCTGTCTCAGACTGAAGTATTCCTGTTCCGCAATGAAAATGGCTTGTCCTAGTGAATCTAGTTCAAGCCGGAACAGGTGAGTCTTGACGGGACCATCCGCAAGACCCTGCATGAACACCGAACCCAACGTGTGTTCATCCACCGGATTGGAACTTATACAACTCGTGAGATGTCGTATATGTTGAGCGTAAGCGTGCACATCACGCTTACCTTGTTTGAGCTTCAAGAGTTCAGTTCGAGATCTGAACTCACCTCTAGGCGGTTCAAACGCTTGTCTGAGCCGCGACTTGAAGACTTCCAACGACCAAAATGCATATGGGTCGTGCAGCTTGAGCCCCAGTGCCCAAGGCTTGGCACGTCCTGCCAGATTTGACTGGGCAAATGCAACTTGTATATTCCCGTCGTCGATGCGACGCGCCCTGATGGCGTCATCCAATTCGACGAACCATCTCAAGAGGGAGTCCTCTTTGACTCCCCTAGACTTGGAGATGTCAATCTTCAAGGTTTCGGGTCGACGCGAGTGCATCGACCCACCAGGAGCAGCCTGCTGCTGTCTCAACAGTTCAAACTGTTGAGCACCCTGTTCTCTCAACAACTCTTATTGTTGAGAGCCTTGTTGGTGAAGCAAGGCTACTTTCTCGCGTTCTGCGTCAAGTTCATTTTGAATGAACTTGGCGATAGTAGCATGTTGGGCATCTCTATCGAGAGCCTCTAGCATGACGCTAACAGCATGGATGCCCATGGTTGAACCCATCCGTTCAGCCGCATCCCATTCGACATTGCTCAAATGGGAGTAGCCGTCACGCTTAGCGTGAAAGCTTTGGTCATCATCATCATCCAACATATTCATGATAGATGTGAACGTGGTCCTTGGACGGACTACAAAGTGCTACTAGGTGTAACGGGGCACCCTGAAGCTTGTACTGGTGACAGTACAAGCTACTTATTCTGATGACAGAATTAGGCGGTGCTTCGTAACTTCACGTACACTCGTACGTGCAGAGGAAGACGGTAAGAAGAAGCGAGTAATTCGTTAAAGTAAAAAGTAGAACTGTATATATAATAGTTAATGTCTGCAATAAATCACTGTTTATCTTCATCTAACTGTGTCTAAATACAAATGTGTAAATCAACTATCTGCTCACCACTCATTGCGTGCGTCTGTCGTGGCGCGTCTTCGTTGGTTGATATAATGGCCTATATCAACCAATTAGGAACTACTCGTAAGTGCTGCAGAATATTGTCCTTATGACAATATTTTGAGAATATAACTCTAATAGTTATATTCTATCAACAATTTCTTATAAATTGTTATGTAACGGTTCACCCCGTTACAGAAGGGACGAAAAGAGGTGGGACACCGACCTGCGACGTGACGTGAAATCGTCTCCAAGCAACGCTTGTCGATTGTCTCCATATTGTATGTACGCTTGCTCTTGTATGCCACCATGTTCAGTGAAAGGTGCGGTATTGAGACTATCGAGTCAAATAGCGACCGTACAACAGGGACTGGCATTCTGACGATACGCCATCGTGCGATTGCGATACAAGCAGTCGATCATATCCGGACAAGGCGAAAGGCAGTTGTCGTTGTATCATCGGTCGCTTAACCCATAGTTTGGCACGTATGTTGACACGGCACAACATGCCTGACGACTCGCAAACGCGATCGAAGCGAATGACGAATGTACGAGTCATGCATTTTTATAGTTACAGCATTACAAAGGATTGACAATGCCGTATTGAAGTCGTTACTTTTTTCGATTCTTTTAGCAGCGTCAGGTAACATTCTGTATGCAGGTGTAGATGCCATGCTACAACGAGTATACATTACTGCTTTTGATATTGTTGGTGACGACCGATGCTCGATTCTGTCGCTAAAAACAATTAATGAGGTCAACGGTGCTACACGTTGTATCTCCGTTAAGTGTCCGGAAACGCTCATATTTTTGCTTCTCACGCGACCACACCACTTCAGCACAGATTGATGGTGATCTCCTCAGGCGAAATGCATTCTTGGTTCCTTTCGTGCAAGCAAATATGGTTGAGAGAACGCAGTCCATCTTCTAATTACTTTTAGTCCCAGTTAAATATATTCCTATCGCTTATCAAGGGTTATTAATTGTCGGTTTAGAGGTTATATTCATGTGGTATAGTACAGATAGCTTACAGTTAGAGGGACCACGTTTAAAGGACCAACACAATTATAAAACCGCATTTTACTGGACAAAAACACATACAAATTTTAAGTGTATTTTTTCCATCGCACAGCTATTGGACAAAAAAACCTAGTGACGCCCGCCACCCGTCCCATTCTCCCCACGCAAGGACAATTCGCAATTTACGAACACCTCCGCAGACAAACACGACGTACGAATGGCGCCCCGAACGCACCTTTCCTTCGTCCAGAAGAGAGCTCTACAGACACACCAGCGAGAGAACCCTGGACTCACGCAAGCCGATCTCTTTCGATGAGCGCTGGGAGAGTTTGGAGTCCGTGTTGCACGGTCCACGATCAGCAGGATTCTGAGCGAGGACATTCCTGTCACCCTTAATCCGAGTGCCAAACGGCAGCAGAAGGGCAGACATGCCGAGGTGGAGAAAGCGCTGTTCCATTTCGTGCTCGACACTTAACGTAACGTCACGTTGACCGACTCCATCCTCCACCAGAAGGCTGATCAATTGCTCGAGGACGCAGGTGTAGCGACGACGCTCTCGCTTTCGTTGGTGTCGAGGTTCAAAGCCCGACACGGCATCAAGTCTTATTGACTGCATGACGAGGCGGCCTCAGTCGATCTAGAGACCTTTATAGCGGCGCCAGGAACTCCGGACCCTTCTCGACGACTACGCGGCGTGCGACGTTTTCAATATGGATGAAACCGGTCTATTTTATCGCATGATGCCTTCGCGGGCTCTGGTAACGATGCCTTTGAGTGGCAAGAAGAAAGATAAGTTGCGCATTTTGATAGGGCTATGCTCCAATATGGATGGGACTGATAAACAGGACTCTATCGTGATCAACAAGTCCCTCAACCCCCGTTGCTTTAAAGCCATCGACGTTTTCAAGCTACCCGTCCACTTCCATGCAAATGCAAAGGCATGGATGACTGGCGGCTTCTTTGCAAATTGGTTGAAAGCGTTCAATCTCAAAGTGAGCGGGCGAAAAGCTCTTCTGCTGCTCGACAACGCGACCTTACATGTCAATTTGGAGCTCTCAAACGTACACGTTCTTTTCCTTCCGCCAAATACCACCTCTTATTTGCAGCCGATGGACGCGGGCATCATTCGCAACTTCAAGCTCAAGTACAAGGCCCAATTCTTGCAGTGGCTACTAGACATCGTGACGGCAGGGACGGGGGACAAGATGCTCGACGTTCTAAGCGCAATCCGTATGGTGGTAAAATCTTGGGCTGAGGTGCGCCCTGAAACTATTCGACACTGTTGGATCCACACTGGAATCGTGTCGGGAGTTATGGCGGCAGTGCTCCGTAAGCAAGACGAGCCGGTCCGTCCCAATGATCTTTTAATCCTGGCTAATCTAATCGACAAACTATCTTTATCTGATGGAATGAATGCAGACGACTATCTGGAGTGTGACAGAAACCTGGAAGAATGGGAACCAGACTCCGATGCAACTGCCACCTCCGAGCCAGTTTCGCGTGATGACGACAGCGACGGAGACGAAAACCCCGTATTCACTCATCGCGACGCGCTGAATGCTGCAATACAATTGTCTACTTACCTATTCGCACACAAGATCGATATTGCACACAAGATTGATATTGGGGGATGCAACTGCTGACCGAGAAATGACGCCAACAGCTTCAACAGAGCATTCACCAGCAGTAAATGACTGATTGCTTTTCGAAAGAGTAAGCTCGGTGGCCCATAATAGAACTAACAGCACTTACTTAATAGCACGCAAAAATGGAACTAATATTTATATGTTAAATTACTTAGACTTCTACATTTTTCTTCATATCTTACTTTCCTAGAAACTTATTCCAATTATCCGATTCCTATAGAATATTCCTAAAGATTTTATTCAATCATATCTCAACAGAAACGAAGTGGTGTCCTTTAAATTGATTTTGATCTTAAGGACACAGCAAATTTTATGGACAAATCGCGCTCTAACTATGAGTTATTTGTAAAAGAGAAGTGGGTAATGGGTCTTCAGTTTTGATTTAACAAACCAACCCACATAAATTAATCAATGAATCAAATTTTAAGGTCGATGGAAGTCCGTCCTTACTGCTGGCTCACGTTGTAGTTGCACTTGAGTGCCGTACACATTCACATTCTTATACTGTCAATCGTGGACAGCTTCGAGAGGTTGCAGGAGATCCATTCGAATAGATTTTAATGTGTGGTCGATGAAATTTATATTACGTGATGATGGCATCTAAAAAAATCTACTTGTATATTGTCGACGATACCGACTCTTACATCAACAGTCCCAAATTAACAGAAGATTGGCAGCATCAAGTACAGGATCGAACGGTGCGGTATCGTCAATCAGTTTTACTACTGAAGGTGCTGCATGTGCTAATTGTACTAGTGCTACTTGGCAACAAGACCTCGTGCTGGGACCTTACTGTCCACACCGTCCACATTTTCGACGTCGCGTAGGATAGAAGGATCAGCGAGTAGCACGGCTTAGAGATCATGCGCTGACGATGAGGTACGAGATCTAATTAATCTTCCCCGGAATTAGTTGAAGGCCGTTGCATCAATATTCTTTGGCTTTTTTGTAGGTATAGTGCGTACTTAATTTTTTGTACGACCGACGTCTGCCCTCTTCGGGGGGGGCTACACATTTCCTACCGGATGGCCACTACTGATTGGATTCCTCGGGGGATAGCCAGTCGAGTATTCCCGACTAAATTCGATGTCGTATGTTTCAATGAGAGGCCGAACTCAGTTTTGCCAGGGTTCCCGGATGGTAGAACTGAGACTTTTGTGTCACATACTTTTCATCACCTCAAATTTGTCGCACGGGCGAAACGGCAACCAAGTGATTGGGACGGCGGTGCCTACCTAAGGCACCAGGGGGATACCCCCGGTTGTATTAAAATTGCAAGTTACTGCTCTAATTTCGCCATACTTTCGTTTGCCCACCTTTATTACCGATTGATGGCTGTAAAATTTGCTGCTGGTAGTGTCGGATCATCAGGTGAGTAAAGGGCTTCGTCCATAGAATACAACATAACTTCGTTAAGCTGATCGAAGATTTGATATTTTTTAAACAGAAGATTAGAGGTACGCTATAGAAGGTGGGTGAGAATAATGAATGTCATTTTTGGCAGATACAAAAAACAATATGACTATCTGAGACTTTTATATCCATGTACTTGTTCAATACATGTGGTAAAAGCTCATTGGCAATAAGTACGGCTCATTATCCGCTTCCTCGTAAAATTTGATGATCAAAGGGTAAAAAATGAAAACTCCATCAGAACTACCCACTCCGCCTCCACCCACAAGTCAGTATATCCCCAAAAATAGTAGAAAAAGATCCCCATAGAATATAATCCCGCCAACTCATGTTCTCACACTCGCTCAAAAAAACCGGGTAGGATGTTGTATAAGGTCGTTAATACGTAGCCATCCTAGTCCTTTATGGTGTAATATTCTCTGTGTAGGACATGACTAATGTTTCTGCAGTATCTCCGTTTATGAGATCTTTTACCTTTTTGCAAAGGATACGAGTACTCAGGAAGAGATCAAAGATTGATAGAATCTGAAACCAGTGCAGGAGAGAGAAAGAAAGAACCGAAGAAGTTGCAGCAGAGAAGGTGGCAGATAAGCACAGGCAAACCAAATATATGGATCAACATCTTGGCTGATGTACCTTATATAATGGTTATTGTATCATACACCCCACTTTTTACTTAATACACCCCATACACCACACCCGTACCACACTAAAATACCGCCGTGACAGATATTGCGCCACCATAACTCGTTATGCACACTGATGCTTGCTCTCCTTCACCTCAGTTCATAATTTAAACCTAAAAGCAAACACTTTCTTCTCAGCTTGCTGCAGACAGTCTATTACCTCTAGTGTTTTCCATTTGTATCCATAATCAAGTATTGCGGAGCCGCATAAAGCTAACGCTGATGCTGGATAGGCTTGATCGATAATCATGGTTGATCATGCAGTACGAGCTCTTGTATAAGAGATTATCAAGGTTATGGCGCACGATCAGATTACGTATAGAGTTACGTCTGATAAAAAATGTACGTCCGTCTAAAACCTGAACTCAGCTTATTAGAGTGGAAAACACGTCATCGAAGGCATGCAATTACGTCGGCTTGATGCTAGTAGACGTCATTTGTGTATCACGCATCAAGATTAAAGGCAAAGTTGACCATGGAGTCTTCATGTAAAAGTTGGCAGAAGCAATCTTGAAGGCTAGAGGTCAATATTCGATACACGACACTTACTACTGGATTTAACTGTTATAAAATCCACGCATTTCCTTAAAAGTTTCGAAATCGTTTCTCAGCAACTTATGTACGTAGTGCTTAGAACGGGGGCCCTTTGTTTAGGGTACAACGAAACTTTACGTACACTCGTACGTGCAGAGGAAGCTAATCTACTCAAACTGCTAGTTTGAGTAAAGGAAAAAGAGAACTGTATTTAATGTAGTTAAGCTATCAATATATTGCAGTCTTCATCCAACTACATTTATCTACATTGTCGCATGACGAAAACCTGCTCACCACGCGTTGCGCGCGTCTAGCAGCGATTGGTGTTAATCTTGGTTAATATGTCTTTTATTAACCGATTTTCGAGCAGTACATGACCTTAAGGAATAAAATTCCTTCTATAATAACTATTTCGGGTAATATTGGCAGGAGATTGTCACGCTAGACAATTTTTCTATTGGCACCTTTGGTTTCAAGATTATATCCGGGGTACCCCGTTACATCACACCCTCCCCTTAACCATCAATCACCCCCGTTGATTAAAATAAATTGATTGGGGACAAAGTGATCACCGTTTAATCACTCCGGGAGAAGAAATTACTTGTTGGTCAATCCTTACTCGTTCGCCAATCCATCTCATGGTTGTAAAATCCATGTGGTGCGATGCCGAAGCAGCCAAGAAGGCGATTGCACGCATGCGTGCAGCCGAAGAGAGTACTTTAAAGCCTCAGCATCAGGTGATTATTTGCCTGCTGTTGCAAGTGAGAAAAAAGAAGTGCCTGCTGTGACTCGCAATGTGGATGAGCCTGAAATAGATCCCATCTATTTTGACGAGTCAGATGATGCATCTGACTCGGAGGCGGCGCCACACACCTCCGGATCACCCGGGGCGGACACTGCCAGAGCCGGGTTGACTGGCTCTGGAGAACAAAATACAATTGCGACAGAGATCTTTGGACCGAGAGATTCGTCTGACAAATCCTCGTCTTACGCAAGTCCGTCGAACACTAGGACGCGTGTTGATGGTGGTGACGCACCTATGCATTACCGCGAGAGAAGCAACTCGATAGATCGAGCTGCTACTGATGTCAGTGCTTATGCTGACACCACTAAAGAGGCCAGGGACCACATCGTCATGCACCAGGCTCCTCAAGTTGAGTCTCCTTGGATACCGTCATCCAAGGAGTTAGACCGAATGGCCGGTATAATCACCAAATAGGATCGAATCCCGTAGTTCGACTGTATGAGTATCTGTCCCATTAATTCAAGCACGTAAACTATCCGTGCTGAGGAAGATTACTTAACCAATGCGTCCTTTAAACATCGGTGGTACAAAAAAATGGCAACAGTGGCCGCGAAGATAAGGCCTTGGTGCAAGGGAGAAATGCCTTCATCCATAACATCGAGTGCATTGGCCGTGAGGCCTGGCCCGGTAAACTTGATGCAGCTCGTATCAGGTTTGAAAAAAGTAACCAAGCCGGTGTACAATACAAGTTGCCCGAATGTCAAGAGAGGAAGGGTTACCCCGTCTTATTTGGGGCAATCCATGTTTAGAGTGCCTAGAAAATGCGAATAGTGCATCCCAGGGAGGCCTACCTCCCTAATGTCCCATACTGGAGGGCGCGCATCTCTTCTGAGATGGCCGAAGGGATTGACACTTTGCAATCCCTAGACTCGTGTTCGGGGAGGAATACATCCTTGAATTCAACCAAATCTTCATAGAGAGGATTTGTCTTGAGCGATTCCCACGATTGGGAGTCATATCGCTCAACTCGTGTCTTTTCATCGAGGACGCTCTCGTCCATCGATGAACTACTGAGAACTCTCTCGTTCTCAGTAAACACTGTTGCTGACCTTATGCCGGCCACACACTCGTCGTCAGCGACGAGTACGCAGATCTGCTTGACTTTGCCACTACGCAGATCACGCAAGAACCTTATATGTTCGAGCGTTGTCAACTGAGTGATCTCCGAAGTCAACTTCGGAGGCGCAATCAGATCAAGTGTATAAGCGCCTACACTTGATCCGTTATTGACTATGACATTCAATGTCTCTGTCATTTTCTGGGGACTTATTCCCTCAGGCTTCGAAGGACTTATTCCTTCGTCTTCCCGGGGACTTATTCCCGCGGGTTTCGGGGAGTTTATTCCCGCCGTATTTGTAATCTTGGGACTTATTCCCTTTACTTCCTCTATCTGGGGTTGCGCAACCACAGCGAGATCCTCTACGAAAGACTCTCCAGTCGATCTAGGATTATCGTTTCGCTTAACCTGAGCGATCGATTGTTTCTCTTCTAGATGTTCCCCGCTAGTGATACATCTTTGTCCCGGTACACTCGACTTATTCGAGTGGTGGACCTTCGGCGCAGCCTGTGTTTCCTCATAGCCGCCGGAACTTTGCTCCGAAGTGTAATCGTTTGTTACACTAAGGTTTCGTGCAGTCGTACTAACGACCGTACCACAAGTGAGGCCATCGCACTCACTCGTAGTACATCCACACGCTTGTGGACGCTCCAAAACGTTCATCAGATGGCCATCTAATGAACAAGCGGCAGGCATCGTTACTGTCCGATGTTGCCAGTTTACCCGTGGTTCGTACCTTCTGAGCCACGGTATTCCGAGGATGACATCAAATTTGTCATCCAAATCCAATACGATAAATTCATCGTCATATTGGGTATCTTCTAGCGTATAGTGGATCTTCACTATACGCTTCATGACGGTTACGGATGCGCCTGTCGCAAGACGTACCGTCATCCTCGTAGGAGGTGTGTCACATTCACTGAACTTAAAATGACCATCTTCTAGCGATTGGCGTCGCACAAAAATGTTAGACGCCCCGCAATCGACTAGAGCTCGAAGGGACAACTTATTCGTCACTTCGAGTTTCAAGGTAATGAGTGAGATCTTATTACCTAGAGCAGCAACGCACAATATTTGTGTGTTGGGAGCAACCTTCGTCAAGAGGCCTGCAAATTCTCTCGACGTTGCTGGACCAGTAGAGTGCTCCGCACCTACTGATCCTGTCCGTTTTTTACGGTCCATCCCGTTGTTGCGTCTTTGCACCAACAGCGGACCCGCGTCCCTGCCCCTTTCTCATGGGTGGGCGGTCACTACGCCCAGTGTTGCAAGACACTGGACGAGGGGCACTACACTCGTAAGCGTAGTGTCCTGTCTTTTGACATCTGATGCATTTCTGCAACTTCTTGTAGTCTGTAGAGCGAGCCTTCTCGCTCTCTACATAACAGAGTTCCATCGGCTCTGGACCTCCGTTGTCATATCGTCTCGGTTGACGATATGATGTCGAGCTGGCGCGAGCCTGTCTCAGACTGAAGTATTCCTGTTCCGCAATGAAAATGGCTTGTCCTAGTGAATCTAGTTCAAGCCGGAACAGGTGAGTCTTGACGGGACCATCCGCAAGACCCTGCATGAACACCGAACCCAACGTGTGTTCATCCACCGGATTGGAACTTATACAACTCGTGAGATGTCGTATATGTTGAGCGTAAGCGTGCACATCACGCTTACCTTGTTTGAGCTTCAAGAGTTCAGTTCGAGCTCTGAACTCAGCTCTAGGCGGTTCAAACGCTTGTCTGAGCCGCGACTTGAAGACTTCCAACGACCAAAATGCATATGGGTCGTGCAGCTTGAGCCCCAGTGCCCAAGGCTTGGCACGTCCCGCCAGATTTGACTCGGCAAATGCAACTTGCATATCCCCGTCGTCGATGCGACGCGCCCTGATGGCGTCATCCAATTCGACGAACCATCTCAAGAGGGAGTCCTCTTTGACTCCCCTAGACTTGGAGATGTCAATCTTCAAGGTCTCGGGTCGACGCGAGTGCATCGACCCACCAGAAGCAGCCTGCTGCTGTCTCAACAGTTCAAACTGTTGAGCACCCTGTTCTCTCAACAACTCTTATTGTTGAGAGCCTTGTTGGTGAAGCAAGGCTACTTTCTCGCGTTCTGCGTCAAGTTCATTTTGAATGAACTTGGCGATAGTAGCATGTTGGGCATCTCTATCGAGAGCCTCTAGCATGACGCTAACAGCATGGATGCCCATGGTTGAACCCATCCGTTCAGCCGCATCCCATTCGACATTGCTCAAATGGGAGTAGCCGTCACGCTTAGCGTGAAAGCTTTGGTCATCATCATCATCCAACATATTCATGTTAGATGTGAACGTGGTCCTTGGACGGACTACAAAGTGCTACTAGGTGTAACGGGGCACCCTGAAGCTTGTACTGGTGACAGTACAAGCTACTTATTCTGATGACAGAATCAGGCGGTGCCTCGTAACTTCACGTACACTGGTACGTGCAGAGGAAGACGGTAAGAAGAAGCGAGTACTTCGTTTAAGTAAAAAGGAGAACTGTACTTATCATAGGTAATGTCTGTTAATAAACCACTGTTTATCCTTATCTAACTATGTCTGAATACAAATGTGCATATCAACTATCTGCTCACCACTCATTGCGTGCGTCTGTCGTGGCGCGTCTTCGTTGGTTGATTTGATGACCTATATCAACCAATTAGAAACTACTCGTAAGTGCTGCAGAATACTGTCCTTATGACAATATTCTGAGAATATAACTCGTATATTTATATTCTATTAACAATTTCTTATAAATTGTTATGTAACGGTTCACCCCGTTACAGCAGTGAGATGGGAAAAGTACGCATGCTCCAGAGAAACCGCTAAAGCCATAGAAGGATCGTTTAAGCTCATCTCAAACATGGTCATGGTAAGGAATACGAAGTGCTACCAGGTGTAACGAGTTGAGAACCTTACTACAGTCTTACACTCGAAAGAGCGCGAGGAAGCGCTCTCATCTTTATATAAATATAACTCTATTATATTTTGTGTTTTCATAACTCGAAATAAATGCGAATATGTTCCCTAGCTCATAAGATTCACTCAATATAGATCTATTATTAATCGGCAAATATTTGGGTCTGACCCGTTGCTACAAACCAAAAATAAATAGGCGCACAGCATCCGCTGTCCAGATAGTACCTATACTAAATATATGCAATTAGGTAGTAAAACCTAGGATTTCTCAACATAATGTGTTGCCCCATCACAAAATGCTTTTCGTATACTTAAAACGTAAATTGGTAGTAATTAGTGGCGTCTTAAATGTTAAGGATCAACACACCCAATTTTAAAATTGGTCGCTTCCACCAACGCCTACGTTCATGGTTTTTCATAATCATGGGTGCGACCGAAAATTGGTGTGTGGGCACGACGTCGCAAACATTTTTATTTAGCACCTTAATTTGTTATAACTTTATTTTCACGCCATAAGATGCTTATTCGTACGGTGTGAATCTGGTGATAAAATGGGCAAAAATAATTGGGTGGGCGTGTGTGGGTGCGCTAATTCAGAAATGGTGAATGGATGGGTGTGCGTGGACTCTGCCCTTCTATGCGCAGCGGTTTGGCTATATGTGGGTGCGGTAAGCTCCGATTTAAAACTCTTTCACACACCCATTAGATTCGATCTTAGTTTTCTTGTTGGCACCTGTTTGCTCCGTTTTTGCACGTGAAAACATTGACATAATGTAGCGTTGATACGCGAGCATAGCATACGCCCACTCTGTCATGGTGAATCCCCGCGTGACCGTAAATTTAAGGCTCATCGATTTTTTGTAGTCAGACGCATCAGCATGTAGCGTAAAAAAAGAGTATTTAGATTTTGGTTAAGGGTATTGCTGATTACACCTACTTTTTACTAAATGCACCCATACCCCATCGCAAAATGGTTTGTACGACAAACATCGCGCCACCATACCTTGTACAACCACTGTCGCACAACATTCTGCATCTATTGTACAAACGTGAAGCGATTGACCAAGCAAATATCTGTTAGCTTGCAATCGATGACTATAGCTCTTTCCCTTCGTCGATATTTGACGGACGACCCCGAACCACTCATCACGCACCTCACTTATTACAAATATACACCATGTACATGACCTCCGCACCGAACCACAACACGGTTTGTACGATAAGTATCGCACCATCATACCTATGTACGACCACAATCGCACAACATTCTGCATCTTTCATGCAAAATGGTTATTGATTTTACCAATCAATCTTTCTTCGCCAGGAAATTGTTCGATTACATATCCAGGATAGGCTCAATCGTATAGCTGTACAATGCATGTCTTGTTTAAAGATGTGATCATCACTGCAACGGATGCATCCGAGTACGTGTGTGATACGTGAACCTTTGTTTCAATCATTTTTATACATTTCTCAACTATGACCTGGCTTTTGCCATCTCTGGAAGATATAAAGAGAGCCCGGTATATATTTGTCATGTAGTGAAGGGTGCGTCGTGGTCGTTGATCAAATCGTTTACGAAGGCAAAGATCTTAGTCATTGCTAAGCAAAATTTGCTTAATCAATCACTGCACATTTTTACGATAGATGCATAATGTTGTGCGATAGTGGTCGTACAAGGTATGATGGCGCGATGTTTGTCGTACAAACTATGTCGTGATGGGGTATGGGTGTGGTGCATGGGCTGTATATAGTGAAAAGTGGGGTGTATTTGACAATACCCTTAGGTTAGGCCCTACAACGAAGCACAATTTCGGTACATGTGTACTACGTGAACTAGAGTTTGTGAGGACGTGGGGCATTTTTATTTGCAAATTATCGAGTGTATTGATTTTTTTTCTCTAGTTATTTAGGGCAATTTTTTTCGGGATTAAATGGGCATTTCCCCCGTACTCTGTACCATTTTAATCACCGTAGATATTTATCAAAAAAAGCTCAGTTGACGTCTTTGAGTAGAAGAGCTTACGTCTTGAGGTTTTACTCCTCTGAAAAGCATCTTGTGCTGTTAGTTCCCCCGATAAACAGATGCCTGTAGCTTGTAAACGTGAGTCTACCTCTTATTTCTTTAAAAGGGTGGATTATCTAAATGTTGTATGTAGCTCCAGAGAATTAGGTAATCAATAGCCAAAAGTCTCATTCTAAAAATACTTACTGCGTTAGCTCCGCTACATGCAATTTCGAGCTTTCACTTTCCTGTTTGATCTTTGTCGCGATGACCAGCAGTTGCTAATCACGTCTTGCGACAAGTTAAGTCTATCCTTCAAATCGCTTGCAATCACCTACCCATTTTTTCAAAATGTTGTAGCTGCCATCACTCTAATCAAGACTCTGCACCACATCGTCACACATACAAAACACAATCCTCAAATATCGGGGTTGCAATTGCTATCCTTCCCTCTGTTGTGAAATGTGTGCCCCAGAATTTTTCCAATGCTATTATACGTCATCCATCGTGCCCCTGGAGCAGGATCGGTGGGGAAATGTCCGATGTCGTAGACAAGGGGATTTAATAGTGGAGAATCCTGTACGAGAGTAAGGACACAAGTCAGCGACTTGCTATCACTTTATTTTGCCACATTCGTTCGAGCTCAAATGCAACATTTGTGGTGATTTCTTTGTGTGCACACTGGCCAATTCTGGTGAGCCAGAATTTGTCCGTAGGTTTTACATCTTAGCAAGGAAACTGACATTACACTACGACAAAGCTTTTACTGATGACACGCAGTTGCATAAACTCAAGCAAAAACATTTGTCTACTAGACACCGCTCGATCGGTGCGGCACGTCTTGCTATTTTGCGCTGATCTGCTCGGGCGTTTTGCCGCACAGTCGTTTGTGCAGATTCCATGCCGCCTGCTGACAATCTCGTGAACAGTACTCTGCGTCACGACATCTGGCACAGCGCGAGAGCTTGTCACGGGGTGTATGGCATTGGTCACAAGTCTTGCCTTTGGCCTCTCTAAACCAGAACAAAGTATCTTCCTCGCTCGGATGTGTCACCCCTTTCGGATCATCTTCTTCATGGCAAAACACACTGTCTCCAGAAGCATAAAACTCCCACTTCTCAGCATAATGCATGAGGTTCTGACCCACGCATCCGAATCTACCCATCAACGAATCCAGCTTCAACGTCTTTCTTTCCTTGTAATCGTCACTCAAGCTCTCCGCACTCGTTGGTACAAACTCGACGGAAAAGTGCGCCACCAATCCGTACTCCGCTGCACAGGCAAGTGGAGCCAGCTCCTGAGAAATGGCAAAATCACTGAGACTTCGTACATTCTCATCTTCCTCGGTCGTAGGCAGTGGGAGAAAGGCTGCGTCACCCAATAAGAAGCAGAACATGGGTTTCTCATTCGGCTCCAACGGCTTCGAGTGCTCTACGACATACTGAAAAGTCTTATACTGACTCTCTTCAACCCGTTGCTGTCCCGGAGGAGCTACGTATACAAAAACCAAGTCCGCGTCCAGTGGATCAGCCACTGTCTCGTAACCCATCAAATCGCATGCCCGGCAAAGTCGCTCTTGAAACTCGGGAAAGCCATTAGTCTCGATGAAAATCTTGCGCCGAAAGTCTCTAACGTCATCAGAGGGTCGCGCGTGCTTGTAGGTCTCAATCCATGACGCGTGGAGGTACAGGAGGCGACAGCCAACACCCGTGAGGCGGTTTTCGGCCAGTTGGAATTCGCCTTGTTTCCTGTTATTGTTGCCAGAACAATGTGTTTTATTCGATAAAAAGGTGCGATTAGTGTTTGTTTTATCCATTTTGTGAAGAGGGGGAATACGAAAAAGCAACTTATTTTACCAAGCATAATCATGGCGCATATACACGTTGGCTGCAATGAGACGCTCTCGCCAAGGCTGAAGCGCTGACGTTGGAGCTGATACGGGAACACGTCGGTCGTCCATTTTTGCTTCGATATTTGGAGCTAGTTAGTGCTGAGAAAAAGAAAGATTAGGTTTAGGGTAATCTGTGATTTCGCATGTACCATCCATTGTTCGAAGAGGGCGAACAGACTTCCCGATTATTCGAGAAGGTTTTCGTCGTGTCTCGTCCGTTGTCTCGAAGGCGTTCGTTACACTTGATTTGACTATGGCGGTGTCTTGCTCGAGCAAATCGGAGCGAGACAGGAGAGCATACCCTTCTGATAATCTATCGACCCAAGTAGACAGCTCGTATCGCCGTATACGTCGCCCGTCTAGTTGTTGTGCCAAACAAACCGGATCACGCACTCCCTGCGCGTTGCAAAGACCAAGTCGCTCTCACTCGCTCCTCATTCTTTAATTGGCTACGTCTGTCCAAACCCAAAATCCAAATTTCTGAAATCGCCTCATTTTCATGCGAAATTTCAACACCGGCGGCGTGTGCACGTACGGCCTCAACACCCAGGCCGGGCACATGTTCGAACGCAGTCAGAGCGATTTGCGGCAGCGCCGCTTTGGTCAAGCACGAGGGATTGCAAGCGCAGGGGCCGTGAAGAGGCCTCGCGACCAGGACAAAGACAGCGACGACCTCGTCCAGCACCGACCCGAGCGCCGTGCAGTGCTGGTGGACGGACTGAAACGGATGCGCGTCTCGTCTCCTGTCGAGTCGCCGCTCACGAGCGACGTGGACTCGGACATGACGGACGAAGAGGCGGCGACGCCGCGCTCAACGTGGCACGCAAACAAGGCGCTGGTTCCTGTAGCGGCTTTGGGCGGGAAGAATAGTCAGCGGCCGTTGCAGTACGCGCTGTCAGCTGCAGTGGAGCAGCAGCCGTGGCATGTGAAGGAGTTGATGACGACGGAGCGAGCGATGGGACGGACGTGGCACGACGGTCCGTGTCGAGCCTTGGTGGTGTTTAATCCGTACCAGTCGCCGGCGCTGGCAGGTTCGGCATCGAGGGTGGAACTTGTAGAGGACGACGAGAGGGCGGGGGACGTGGACTCGACGTCGGAGAGCGGCGACGAGCACGTGGTGCGGTTTGAGGAGCTGTCGTCAGATAACGACGAGCCAGTGGACATGGACATTGATGACTGAAGAGAGCAAGCGAGAGAGAGAGAGAGCGAGAAAGTTATTCGCGTCGTGTGTGGGGACGGTGACTGTCATGAAGGAGCGGACTGAACTCTTGTGATGGACGAGATGCCGCTTGAGGACTGGCTGTCCGGAGTGGAGCAGCTTAGGTTGGATACGCTTGCGCCGTCGTGAGAAGGACCTTATTTAGCAACATGTTGCGAACACAAGTAGCCGTTCGTGCGACATTCTAACAACTTGACTGCACAATAACACGTCACATGTCGCAGTTTCACTACTGTAGCCACCTCCACTTAAACAGCTGCACAAATGGTTCCCTGTACAATCATATATCCTGCAGAAACAAATAAGTACATACCACAACTCTGCATCGATCGTTCAGCACAATCGACGAGCGTCATGTCGCGCCTCCTCCTGCGCGCTATAACGTCGCCCCAGACAGCAATAGCGCTCGCTGCAGCCAGTAGCTGCACCGCATTCAGCGCTCGTCCCGTCTCCTGCGATGGTGCCGACTCGTTTGCACAGCCGACGTTCTCCGAGCGCACGATCGGCAACTACGAGAACCGACTGCGGAGATTCAGCTCCCCCGAGCGCGTGTTTGCGTATTTCTCGAGCGTCAAGATCAACGACGAGGATTTCATGACGCGAGACGACTTGGCACGAGCTGTGACGCCGTTTACGTACCGCCATGGCGCTCCGTTATCGTCGAAGAACCCGCAGTTCAATGCTAGAGCCAGTGCTGCTAAGACGTCGAAAGCCGTGGCGGACGAGTATCTGCGACGTGTGCAGAAGATCCTGCTTGAGAGTGAAAATGTGTCCCCAGTGGAGATGAAAAAGCTGCTGGCGTTTCGAGACGAGCAGCGTGTGGACTTTGAAACGCACGTCAAGACGTTGAGGGCGCTGGAGATCACGAACGCCGAGTTTGACCAGTTCCTTGAGCTCTACGGGTGTTTACCGTCTCGTGCCAAGACTTTCTTTGATCTGGTAGATGCGGACGGTGATGGGCTCATTTCGTATGCCGAGTACAGTTTCTTTTGCACGCTGCTTGCAAGTGAGTAGACGGAAAAGTTCTTTGGTGCAGACTATTGTAGCGGAGTAGAAACTAATTTGTTGCTGTTGTTGTGGTTCCTGAGTCCCGGAGCAGCACTTTGAATTGGCGTTCAAGATGCTTGACACGGACAACAATGGTCAGCTGGACCATCGTGAATTTCAGCAGGTTTTTTACCGTGATGTTTTCGTGGTTTAGAGTAACTTCTTATGTGAGTATGTGTTCTTTTTTTCCATCGTAGATCATGGACCTGATGCGGCTGCGAACGCCTGCAGGTCGTCAAGATCGGTCACTGCATGATGACAACGAACCCATTTTTAAGCACCTGTTTGGTGAATTCGCCACAAAGTCGCTGTCGTACGACGAGTTCTGTGCATTTCGTCGCGGCTTGAAGCAAGAGATCATGCGCATTCAGATATCCTTTCATCATTTATACTTGCCGCTGAAAGCTTGTTTGATGTTGAGTTGTTCAGTCCACTAGTTCCCTTGACGATTGTTTACTTCGAGCAGTATGATGTAGACGGCGACAATGCTCTTTCGCCGCGGGAGTTTGGTATGTTCCTAGTCTCTCACGTTGATCAGGTATTATCTTGTCAACCCGATATCAGTCGGAGCTATGGTGGTTTGGATATCTAAAAAAGACTTTGACTCCATTGTTTGACATGTTCAGCGTCACATTGGGAAGTGGGTTGAGCGCGTGGACAAGTTGCGAGACATGAGGGTTCGTTTGTTTTGGGGGCACCACTACGTTACAGGTATGCTGACGTCGTCAGGATTTCGTATACAGGGTCATATCACGGAGCAAGAGTACATGGACTTCAATGTTTTTCTCGAGCACCTGGACAAGTTGGAAGTGGCGATAAATCTTGTCATGCAAGTGCACGGTGTGGACAAAGGTTAGTTCTTTGCAGTCGAGGTTGCATGCTGATAGGATTGTTTGCCGAATATTAACGGGACTTGGCGGTGCAGAGCAATTTTGGCGCGCGGCGAAAGCAGCAATGTGTGGAAACAAACACACTAACCCCGTCACTCCTCTGCAGATCGACATTCTGTTTGCTTTGTTTGACCTTGATGGTATCACTTAGACTCGTTCAGTCACGTTTGAGTAAGCTTTTTTCTAAGTGTGGTGTTGTTGTTTGGTGACAGGCGATGGACATTTGTCTACGACGGAGTTTATCGAGGTCATGCGAACACGCAAAGACAGTGGATTGAACGAAGTAAGAGAATACTGCGCACGGCTCTTTACTGCTATTTCGTGCTAATATTCTTTTGCTTATTAGCCCCGTGACACAGGTGTGTTCAATTTTCTCAAACGCATCAAACAATGTATCGAGTGCACCATGTGATTTCAATCAGTCGCGGCATCTTCAATTCGTTGCATCGGTACGACGGATGATTCGTCGCAGCAAATGCCGAGCAAGAGTAAACAGCCTCTCATTGGTGTCTTGTGAAATAGGCCGTACGTGTTTCACGGAGTACGTGGTGCCGTTTTTTGTCCCACTTCTTCGTTCTACTTGCTACGGTAACTAAAGATACGAAACATGTTAATTTTACGGGAACCGTCAATCTCTCCTCACTTTTCCGGTAAAATTCCCTCAGTTTGATGTAATACAACATGATTGGCTAATTATGAGTCGAGAACAGAAAAAGCAATATCACATCAGCTGCATTTAAAGATTCATTTTTGTCGTGTTTATATGCGATTGGATCATTTTTGCGCAAAAATGTAGTGCGGTGGACGTCATTGTCAGCGGCTATTGGCCAAGTAAGCGATGTCCATAAATCAAAATAGGTGAGTAAGTGAGTGAAACTAAAGTTATCATAACAAACCAAAGCAAGCAGCGATTATCATCTCTGATGCAATAAGTACGTAGAATTTGTGAAGATGATGCGGCTGTTGCATTAGGGTGGGTCATAATGCACAACAATGTGGAAGTTTAATCCAATACCAACACCTACAGAACTAAACGGACCCAATTTGTATCTCAAAAATCTTTGACTGCATTCCTGTAACGGGGCACCCTTTGTTTGGGGTGCCATGAAACTTCACGCACACTAGTACGTGCAGAGGAAGCTAATCTAGTCAACAGCTAGGTTAAGTAAAGGGTAAAAAGAGGACTGTATTCAATATAGTTAAGCTATCAACATAACTTGAATCTTTATCTAACTATATTAAACTACGTCGTCGTATGATGATAACCTGCTCACTACTCATTGCGCGCGTCTAGCAGCGATTGGTGGTAATCTATGGTTGATATGTATTTTATCAACAATCTTTGAGCAGTGCATGAATTTTATCTAAAGGCGATAATATTCTTTCAATATTGTACATCTCGGATAATATTGGTCGATAATTGTCATGCCAGACAATATCCCTATTGACACCGTTCAAAGTCTATATCATGTAATGGGCTGTCCGTTACAATTTCTCAGTACGAGTCGATTAATTTTGCAGGCACCATCACTCGTGCATTACTGACATGGACACTTACTTGGACGAAAACGCAGTTTGTTAGGTTTCGATCGCAGCATCAAACTAGAGTATCGTAAAATAGTATCTCACTTGTTGCGAAGCATTAATGTAATGGGGAAACAGATTATATTAAGTAGTCATACATAAATACATATATTAAGTGTAGACAGTATCCGGATAGCGGATACTGCGCGTCTATTTATTATTGGTTTATTATTGGGGTGCCAGACCCAATAATTAGCCAATAATGATTAGTTTTATATTTGAGTGATTCCCATGAGCTAGGGAACATATTCGCACTTACTGCGAATTATAAAATCACAAAAATAAAACAGAGTTAAATTTACCTTAGATCAGAGCGCTTTCTCAGCTTAAATATCGGTGTAAGACGGTAACGGGCCCTAACACCCTTACAATTGACGTCTTTAAAATAACAGGGGCGTTCGCGTGGGCGCTTGTCGAAATCTCTTTGTGCACGACCATCTTAATGTCCTCCTGTATACTATTATGCGGACCTATATTGCACAGTAACAGATCCGGAACAGCACAGGAAAATAGGGAGTATTCAGTAACGAACAGGACCGATAATAATAACACGCGTCGCGTGCACTCGACACGAACGATCCGAACACGCACAAAAAAATGAAGAGAGTAGTAGCCTTGCCACTAGCGCGGAAACCTTTGCATGAAAGCGTGATGAAGATTGATTGCGTTTGTGGAGGCTTCTGATAATAAAACGTATTGAGCCATTGAGAGCATCTGCGGACGTATAAGCTTTGAGTCCGCAAACGTATTAGGCAAAGCTTGACATAATCTTGCGCTAAAGAAAAATGAGAACGATAGCAAACCATACTGAATTAGGTTTAGTAAATGTTAAAAACCGGTAATTGTGATACAATACCCTCTAAATTAGCCAATCATGTAGCGTTATATCGAACTGAGTGGATTTCACTGATAAAAATGAGGGGAGATTCACCCTTCCCTATTCTACAGCATTTATATGATAAAGAAATTCGGTCGCTTATTTATAATTTGCTCTGCCATGACACATTTGGAGGAAGATCTAAACATCCTCCTTTCAGGAGTTACCTCCCCTCTTTAGTATCCTCCAGTACACGATTGTACATAAATCGTGTTTTTGAGTCATGCTCTGCGATCCCATATCCCCACAGATACAATATTATTGGGTATGCGTGAGGTTTACGTCATGCGTCATGATACACCGTCAATGATAAAGCTTAGGGTTGCGATCGTTCGAGCGCTATATTACCCATTTGTTCTCGTGAAGATTCTTAGTATACCAGCACAAACACCCACATTTCAACGTTAGGTACATTGTCAGTGAACTACTCGATGACGGCGAACGCGTTAGCGTTGCAGTAAATTTTCGACATCAGTATGCTAGGAGCAAGAGCCAAGAGCGACTGCTCCATACCTTTGTCAGAGCGAGAAAAATACCTACCAACGATTGCATGGTACTCATCAATTGAGCTGTAGGGGTATTATCAGCAGATATATCCTTAAAAAGTGATGAGCAGAGGTGCACGAAAAACATTGACCATATAAAGTAGACGTTATATCAAGGCAAACATTTTGCATTCACTTTCTTTAGTCGTCAGACTGTAGTTAAAGCGTCATTTCGGGGTGCCAGTCCCTTCGTCGTTACAATGTTTACACTACGTCTTCGCTTGGACTGTTGGTCTAATAAAAATATTCTCGGCACAGCAGTAGTTTATGTCCCATCGAGGCCATACCATCATACCTGGTACTCCGATGTGCAATGGCTCAATACGACAAGAGTTGGAATTCTGGATCGATACTCGCAACTCGTTGACACTTTTTCTCTTCTTGTCTGCTGCTAGCACCACCGTTATCTAATCCACTACCGAAGCCAAAGCCGACTACAGTGACGGTCGCAGCTTCATACCACGACTCACTTCCCACAAGTAGCAAGAACTTACTTGTGTCTAATATGTTTGCATTCAATACAACGACAACTCACACCCACGGCAACACATCCTTACCCCATCAGTGCTTCTCGCAACGCCAAAACGATATTCACGCAGCGCTAACTTTATCGTTATTTGTGTATCACGACGAATGCCGATTACCCTCACGCTGACACAATGTCTTTTGTATGTCTGGGTGATAAATGGTATTACAGAAAACGAATCAAAAACGCGTTTTATTTACAGCCGCGAACTAGAAGATTCTTGAGAAAAGGGTAGCTTATCGATGAAGAACTTAAGAACAGCTTCACATTTAGCTGTTTGACGTAAGGTTTCTACTTTGGAACTTTGTGTGAGCGAATCCCAATAAACAATAATAGAGACAATGACATTTTTTGACGCCTGCTGTAACGGGGCACCCTGAAGCTTGTACTGGGGACAGTACAAGCTACTTATTCTGATGACAGAATTAGGCGGTGCCTCGTAACTTCCCGTACACTCGTAAGTGCAGAGGAAGACGGTAAGAAGAAGCGAGTACTTGGTTAAAGTAAAAATTAGAACTGTATATATCATAGGTAATGCCTGTTAATAAATCACTATTTATCCTCATCTAGCTAAGTCTAAATACAAATGTGTAAATCAACTCTCTGCTCACCACTCATTGCGTGCGTCTGTCGTGGCGCGTCTTCGTTGGCTGATATAATGGCCTATATCAACCAATTAGGAACTACTCGTAAGTGCGGCAGAATACTGTCCTTATGACAATATTCGGGGAATACAACTCGTATATTTATATTCTATTAGCAATTTCTTATAAATTGTTATGTAACGATTCACCCCGTTACATCACCCCCCTTAACCATCGGTCACTTTAGTGACTGGTTGACTAAATGGATACTCGTCCCAAATTATTTGGGACAGGGTTTGCACTTGTTGGTCCGAGTCCACTTTCCAACAGTTTTATCGCATGGTTAACAGTCCGTGCGGTGCGCGAACAAGGCCGCTGAGAGCGCGTCCGCACGTCTCTGTGCGGACGCCGAAGCAGAAACCACAGCAACTGATGTCTCATCGGTTGCTGAAGCGACTCAGCCTGTGTCAACTGGTGATGAAGGCGCTAGTCATGAAGACACTCATGTCTTCACAGAGTATGAGCTCGGTGTCTCATACTCTCCTGATACGGAAGAGGGATTCTGTATCGAAGGCGGTTGAAACCAAGCCGCCTGCCAAGCGTGGCATGGATGATGCTACGCGTCGTAGCATCTTTGATTCATCTGACGAATCAGATGAACCATCGCCAAAGCGAAAGCGCTCGAGGTCACGAGACTCGGGCGCTCACAGTGGTATCGGTTCTCCTATTGACACCACTTCGCAGCGAGGTGCCAGTACTTCTGTCGGCACGTCGCAGGAAGAGCGGTACCGTAGTGTGTTGCGTCTCGCTCCCGAGAAGAAGACATGGATGCCTCCAAAATCCGTCATGGATCACTTGTCGGCGACGACGAGTGATCGCTATCGAACACGATTGTTCGATTCGTCAAGGATCCATCACCTTGACCCTAGTGCGAAAGACTATCGCGCTGAGCATGAATTCTTCATCGATGCTTTCTTCAAACATCGATGGTACGGTGGGAATCACAAACGTGATGGTCCTTCACTGCTTCAAGCGTGGAACGCTTACATCCATAACCCTGAGGATTTAGGTCGTGACGTTTGGAACGACAAGCTTTTCAAAGCTCATGATTAGTTTGAAAAGCAAACCCCGACAGGTGCACGCTACAAGCTGCATCTTCTGTATAAGAAGAGTGGGCTAACCTGTCTCTCCTGGGGAGACTCGTGCCCCTGTTGTGTGAACAACTCTGCGCGCGCACCTAAGGAGGCTTACCTCCTTAATAGCCCGTGGTGGCGCGTACGTATCTTTAGTGAGATG